GCCTATGGACCAGGACATGAATTACCTCACTGCCTTTACAATAACCCTCAGGAAAGGACTGCCTCCAATCAGGAAAATGAAGCACAGAGAAGTTAAGTAACTTTTTCAAGGTCACAGAGTGAGTTGTGATGAAGCCAGAATCAGAATAAAGGAGACAGGGCATGCCTGGGGACTGAGAAGGAAGACAAAGTTTGGGGCCTGCACAGATTTGGACAGGTTGTGAGGCTCAGGGTCTCAGTCAGCCCCATGTAGCAGGCCAGCAATACCCTTCAGGCTGGGGAATAGAGCTACCCACAAACCCTGATGGATACGCAGGGTCAAGCCAGCAGCAGTGTAGGAGCCTGGAAGGGGCAGGTTTACTTGACATCAGTGGCTTTGTGAGCCTCCTTTATAAGGGGCAGGGCCAGTGGGCTGGCCTGGGTTCTGTAGAGTTGGTTTTCCACAGAGTATCAAACAGGCTGTACAAGGCCCACTTTCTCCCCAGTTTAAGAGGTTGTGAGAACAGATACTGAGGATGTTACAGGGCAGTGGGCAGAGGCCTAGAGGGTGAGACACAGGACTGAGCCAAGGGGCCGGACAGGGGCAGGAATAGCACTGGGTGGACAGGCAGAGAAGGCCACAGAGAAAGGGTCTGCAACCATATTTTTAGGTGGGGGGTTTTGAATGTAGAGTCAGGGAGTAAGTGAGGGCTCAGGGTAACAAAGATCTGCAAACAGGACTGGCACCAAGTTTCACTTTTCAGTACAAGTCACAGGCTACCACAACCTGGTGCCAGCTGAATGCTGATGGTGAATGTGAGGGTGTCATCCCTCCTGTCCTCAGATCCCTGCTAGATCCTTCTTCCCTTCTCCCCCTAGAAGACTTACCTCCCTAGCCCTGCCACACCCAGCCAGCTCACAGAGCTTGTGGCTTTTGATGTTTACTTTATTCTTTAGACAGTTCAAAAGGAACTCTGCAGCCCCAACCCCACACCAAGCCCAGCCTTAATCTCCCAGCCCTCAAGCTCCCAGCTGGCCTGTTAAGGCAGTTAAAATGAGTGGATTAGGGGCGGCTTTACATAACAACGCAGGAGCTAAAAAAGTCATCCTCTCCTGGGATGGCCAAAACACTTCTTTTTATCTTCATGCCTCAGATGGTCCTTTTTTTTTTTTTTTTTTCCTCCCTTAAACAGCCTTCCAGCCAGCCAAGAGGCAAGGAACTTGGCCAAAAGGAAGACAAAGAAGAGATTCAGGATTCAGCTACTTCTCCCCCTGGCCAGCAGCACAGAGGGTAACCCACAGCCCCAGGTCCCTAAGCAGGTGATGGTTCTTCAAGGTCAGGACTTAGTGGGTACCTCTTTCACCAAGTCCAGCTGTATGGTGGCTGCAGTCCACAGTTATCTCCCTCGTTCTGAGATGGGTGGCCTCAGACCACTGAGGGCCCTGAGTCCCTCTAAGGAGTCTCAGGGGTCCAGTAGGCAGGTCCAGGCCCCCACCGGGACTAACCCAGAGCAGCTCCACACTTACATCAGCTTTATTATTTAGTTATTTCCTTTAGGGTTTAACGCTGTCATTAATTTAAATTTCACCAAGTATTAGGATTACATATTCTTGTAAAAATTAAAACATTAATTACAAATAATACTTAAGTCCTTTATAACAGTGCTTTTTAATTTTGGTCTTCTCCCAAGTCCAGAAGGAATCAGCTATTATCTGTCTAGATCTCTAGCTACACACTTATATACACGGTACCCAAGAAGTACCTACCTGGGTGGCACAAACAGTTAACGCACTTTGGTGCTAATCAAAAGGTTGGCAGTTTAAGTCCAACCAGCAGTGCCTCAGAAGGCAGACCTGGTGATCTGCTTCCGAAGACTCAGTCACCAAAAACCCTGTGGAGCACAGTTCTACTCTGACACACATGGAGTTACCACAAGTCAGAACTGACTTTGTGGAAACTGGTTTTTATGATGTTGTTAAGTGCTGTAGAGTTGGTTGTAACCCATAGCGATCCTGTATAGGGTTTCCGAGAGTGGCTGGTGGGTTTGAACCATTCCACCTTGTGATCAGCAGTCCAGTGTTTATCCTATAGTGCCACACTGGGGCTTGGTTTTTATGATACCCAAAGAAAATATGAAGTCCTGGTGTGACACTGTGAGTTAATGCACTGGACTGCAAGGCCAGTTTGAACTGCAAGGTCAGTGGTTCAAGCTTACCAGTTCCTCCTTGGAAACCCAGTACAGGGTTGCTATAGGTCACAACTGACTTGATGTCACTTAACAACAATAAAAACAAAGGAAATATAGGATAGTGTCTTTTTTTGCATAAAAGATATTATATTTATGCATCTTTCTGCAACCTGTTCTATTTTACATTTTGTACTCCTATGTAAGCTTTTGTGAAGAAAGGGCCTGAAAAGTTTGACCAGCAGTAGCCAAGACAAATTCCATGTTGGGAAACAGAGGTAGGCTAGTGACTCCCGACCTCTTCTCTCATCAGTGGGCCACTGAGGTGCCTGGACAACACCAGCAACTGGAAACGCACTCAGGCTGCCGTCAAAGCTTGATACACACCAGGCGATGATCTGCTGTGTCAAGCTGACTGGCCACCAATCCTTCCCCTGACAGCAGCTGGGACTCTTGGCATACTTCATATTATCTCCAACCCACCCACCTGACACACTGGTTTGTCCTCCCTACATCCTCTGAGTGTCCACTAAGTCCAGTTCCACACCCCTACTCACAACAGTACAAAGAGAGGGAGACTCTCAGAGGGAGGGACCTGACCAAGATCACACAGCAAGGCACTGCCAGAGTTGGGAGGGGAGCCAAATCATTGGACGTCTTTAGGCCAGTGCTCCTTTTATTGCTCTGAAGAAAGGCTCATGCTCTGAACACAGACATTAGGCAAAGTGACCCCCCTTTCAGAGGAAAATGGGTTCTGTGGGCAGGCTGTTTCATGTCCATTTGTAGGTAAAGACATCTCATTTGAAACCAATGACCTGAATTCAGGTTTAGACTCAATGAAACAGAAAATAATGTAATTTCTGACTCTAAGCAATAACTTACTGCTGTGGAATGCACTCTGACTCTTATAGAGCAGAGTAGAACTGACCCATACATTTGCCAAGGCTGTAATCTTTACAGGAGTTGACTGCCACAGCTTTCTTCCATGGAGCAGCTGGTAAGTTTGAACTACTGACCTTTTGGTTAGCAGTCAAATCCTTAATCACTGAGCCACCTAGGCTCCTTATATGGCAAGTAGGATGGTAAGTGAAAGATGGTTAAATGGATTAAGAAATGAATAGATGGGTGATAAATAACTAGATCAATGAAGGATGGAAAATGGTTGGTTGATGGATGAGGGACAAGAGCTCAATGGCTGATAGAAGAGAAGGCAAATGAGTGAATAGGTAATGGAGGGAAGAGAGTGCATGATAGGGCAACAGATGGATGGATGACTGGATGAGATTGCTGGATGGATGAGTGGATATGTGGATGGACACAAAGATGAGTGGTTATTGAATAGACAAAAGAATGAATTTGTCAATGAGTGAATGAAGAAGTAAATGGAATGAATGTTGAAATCCATGAATAAATGTTGATTCCCAGAGCCTATACCCTGCAGACTTTGTCTAGGCTCCAAATCCTGGAATCTCTCCACAGTGCCAAGGATGACAGCTGAGGCTTGGGGGAGCTCAGGGGATGAATGCCTGAATGACAGTGCCAGCTCCACAGAAAACACTCAGGGGAAACACTTCATAAGGTGGACAAAGCTTTCTGTCCAGGAGACCTGCTTATAGCTGAGCAAGGTTTAATTTACCATGATATTATGTTTGATAGAAACATGGAACCCCAACCTGTTTCCAACTTCTGAGCAACTGAGAGAACCTCTTAACACATGGTTTTTCAAACTTTCTGTTTGGAATTCACTTGGGCAACTTGTTAGCATGCAAATTCAGCCTCACTTGTTCTATGGTAAAGCCAGAGAATCTGCATTTTTAGTTTAGGCTCCCCTCAGTAACACCTGACATGGTCTGATCTTTTCTTCAGGCCCTATAAGCCCCCAAGACCTAGAGTCCTCAGTGGCCATTAGCCTTGGGATCCCAGCTCTCCAGCTAGCTGCCTGCCCTTGCCTCAGCAGAGCAGTCCCCACTGTCCATGGCTATGCCAGATTGGTGATTCTCTTCTCTAATTCTGGATAAAAAATGGCAACGCTACTTCATTCAGCAAATACTTGTCAGATTCAAGATGTCATCTGCTTCTTATATCCACTCTGCAAGTTAAGCAGGAGAAAGCTCTCCTCTCATTCTTTGTTATGTGCCTGACTTCTAGTGACCCTGTATGGTCCTGGTGTGGTGCTGCAGGATAATGCGTTGCACTGCAAGGTCAGCTTGAACTACAAGACTGGTGGTTTGAATCCACCGGATGGTCCTTGGAAACCCTATACAGCATTGCTATGAGTCAGAGCCAACTCGAAGGTACTTAGCAACAACAACAGCATTTCCAAAGAGCTGCTGGTGGATTTGAACTACTAACCTTGTGGTTAGCAGTCCATGGCTGATCCTATAGCACCATACCAAGATTCCTCTCATTCTACAGAAGTGGAAATTAAGGGTCAGAAAGGTGGTGTGGCGTGTCCAAAATCAAACCAAAGCACTGATGGCCAACAAACCTTCCACTCTAATATGTTTCTATAATGTGGTGCTTCTTCTTGAAGAATGAAGGAGCAAGAGCTACAGAGGAGAAAGGGGAGAGGCTGGTTGGTTAAACAACTTGTCCAAGGTCCTACAGTTAATACAGAGAGGAACCAGGATGTGAATCAGGTTGAACTGACTCCAATCTATGCTTGGACCTGTGAAGAGCTGCTTTCTCTCCTTTTCACTCCATTCCAGTCCACACCACTCCCCTCACCAAGTGTCTTGTCTGTAGGTTTTCTGGAGTATATGAGGGGCCAGTGGCAGACCACATATCCCTCACACCACCCCACTGCTTCAGAAAGAGAGCAGCTGACTCTAAGTACCTTCTAGTCGAAAGTCCTCCTCTTCTTCTTCACTCAGTGTTTCTCTGAAAACTTCACCCATGAGCTCCTGGAGGAAGACAAAGCAGGGCATTAGGCACTGTCAGGGTCAGGAAGAAAGGCAGCTCTGGGACATTCAAGGTGATGTCACAGGGTGCCAGGAAGCTAGCACCTTGCTCTGATTTTCCAGGGGGTGGATTTAGGGAGACTAGAATGGACCCAATTGTACTAAAAAGTTAAATCCCATAGTGGTTCCTAACAAGTAACCTTTTCTCTCTGCCTACCACCTTCCAAGAAATACTACACATGGCCATCCTTATCCCTTAGAAGGTTCTACTCTCACCGGGAACTTCAAAGATAGATCAGAAGATGTTCCACATTCACACTCTTGAGTCAACTTGGACATAGGACTCAATCTGAAGCCTCCCCTGTAAGTCCCAAGAAGAGACCTCAATTTGGATCCTTCCTCTAACAGGGTCCTGGTGACTGTCTGGTGGCCTTGGAAAGAAGACAGAAGGGCATCTGTCCTCAACATAAGACAAACCTCTCCAGCTAGCTGCCTAAACCTAAACTCCTTAACAGAACAATCAGCAACCCATATGCTTCAGGGGCATCTCCCATATTTCACCTCTGAGGAACCCAGTCTGATCTGGACACATGCTCTGGCTGTGCTGTGCCGTATGTGTGTGTGTGTGTGTGTGAGAGAGAGAGAGAGAGAGAGAGAGAGAGAGAGAGAGAGAGAGAGACAGAGAGAGCGAGCCA